GAGCCAGAACCCTAGCTGATGGGTCTAGCTACTCATAATTAGAGAAAGAAACAAAGAAATAGATGAAGAAAAACTTATGTTAATTAATTACTAAGATAAACTAGAAGATTCAATGTTGAAATGAAGATAAAATCGCCCAAAATAGCTAAAGAAACGGAAGTCACGAGCGCAGCTCAGTACAAAATCTATTTGCTTGACCTAAAAATGGAAAAGAAGCTATTTATACTAAGCTGAAATGTCTGGACAAAAATACCCCTGCGGGGTTAGTGCGGACCGCACAAAATGGTGTGCGGGCGCACTAGGGCTCTGAACACAAAATTCCAGCTCTCTGAACTCAGGCAACGCGGATCGCAAAGAATGGACCGCGGCCCGATGGCTTCTAGTGCGGTCCGCATGAAATGGAGCGCGGACCGCATTGGCTTCAATCTCCGAAAATAGCAACTCTCTGATTCTTGGTTGTGCGGATCGCACTAAATCGAGTGCGGCCGCAGTAACTTCAGTGCGGACCGCATTAAATCCCATGCGGCCGCATTGCCTGACTTGCCTAAATAGCATACTCTCTGAACCTCACTTGTGCGGACTGCACAGAATTGTCTGCGGCCGCACTGGCCTTGTTTTGCCTGAGCTTTGTCTTGCCTTGATACTTGTGCAAGTTTCACTCCTTTTGAGCTGATTTTTGACATCTTGTCACCTTGTTGATCAAACCTGCAATCAAGCACAACTTGTGAGCCTTTTTGGGATTATTTTGTACAAATTTCTAATCAAAACATAAGCAAGGAGGAATATGAAACGTATCAAAATCCCTAGTTATCATATCGCTCTCGTTGTTGTGACTAGATCCGCTCCCACCTGCTCCATCAAAGTCGACCTCAACCCTCGGGGTGTTGTTGTTGACCGTCTGCATTGTTTGATTTACGGGAGCACTGGGAGGAACTCGACCTCGTCCATTCGCGTTACTGGAAGCACCCGATAACGCCTGCTTCAGCTCTGTCAAAACCTTATCTTGCTGTGAGATGGCTTAAAATGGCTTCCAGTGGCATCGTTCCCCTGACTATGGGTATCACTGATTGAATCCTCGTGCTGAGGCTGATTTCCTTGGGCCTCAAGGCTGTGTGTGTTGCTAACACCATTATCTGCCATTTTCAATGATTTTTTGCTAAGAACAAATAATCAAACGCGTTAGTAAAAGAGACAAGGACCAACTTAATTACACAATTGTCTAAGCCCCACGGTGGGCGCCAAGCTATTTACCCGTAAAACAGTACAGTTGAATTTATACGTGGTTTATTGATAAGTAGGGATTTTGACCGCTTATTTGCTCTCTGTTACTTGCGTTTTAGCTCAAAAATGCTCAAAGGTATTCCCGAAAACTAACAAAATGTGCTTACTTGCAGGAGTATTGGAAAATGAGCCAAAGAAGTCAAAATCAACTCATAAAGGAGTCTAAAGTGAACAAGAACCAAAACGGGGCAAATGAGGTAGCAGTGCGGACCGCACAATTCTAGTGCGGCTGCAGAAGGAGATTCAGAGAGTATGTTTTGGCCAGCTCAGGGAGTGCGGACCACACTGAAATTGTGCGGCCGCATCCATTTTTATGCGGACCGCAGAGTTGAGATTCAGAGAGCGGGAAAGTTTAAGAGTGCGGACCGCGTCACTTTTGTGCGGTTGCATAATCCTAAGTGCGGCCGCACCCACTTTTATGCGGACAGTAGAAGCCTGAAGATTTCAAGCTCAATTCCCCAAGACTGCGGACCGCACTAGAATTGTGCGGCCGCAGAAGCCCATTTTGCGGTCCGCATCAGAATTATGCGGCCGCACTGCCTCCGTAGGGGCATTTTGTCAGATATTTTCAGCTTAGTATAAATACAACTTTTTGTCATTTTTAGGTTAAGTTTAGTTTGGAGAGGTGCACCAGAGCATTTTTCTTTACTTCTTTGAGTAAATTTGTATTAGATTGACTTCTTAACATTAGTTTATCTTTGTTTAATCAATAATTATGCATTGTACCTTAATTTCTTCTTGTATTTCTTTATTTTTCATGAGTAGCTAAATCTTTAGCTAGGGTTGTGGCTCAACCCTAGTGTGGATACTTAATGGGTATTTAATTTGAGGGCTTGTTTGTGATTGGGTTAGTCATATCTAGCCTTGTTTATGCTTAAATTCTAGGATTAATGGTTGCAAATATTGATTTATGCCTTTTTGACCTAGTCTTTGCTTGAGAAAGAGAGACTAGGTTTAGGAAAACTTGGCTAGCAAGGAATTGGGGTAAATTCAAGAAATTGATAGTCCCCAATTAAAGGGTCAAATATAGAGATAGTAAGATCCGACTTTAGCATATATCACTTGATTTGTGCAAATACCCATTTGGGCTTGAGAAAGCCAAATCGGGCAAAATCACTCAAACTACCGAGAGGTATAGAGTGAGCAATTGCGTGTGTTTGCTATACCACGAACCCGATAAATCAAACTTGCCCTATAATTTACAACTCGTTAGGTAGCCACCTAGGTGGAAGTCACGACCCTAGATTCCTTGATCATTTGAAAAACACTCAAAACCGAAAACATTGTCTTTTAGTTATTATTTGCAATCCTTAGCTAAAAGTAGAAATAGAAAATAACCAATGAATATGTGGAAGTCCATCTAAGGCACATCATACATTTACTCTAGTTAGATACCTAATCCAAATTCTAACTACATATGAATTCGATCCCGACTCGTGTTGGGTTTATTATTGCTTCGACCGCCTTACTACCTAATTGTGGTGTGAGTTTGGGCGAGATCATTTATAGACAAGCGAATTATTGATTCTGAAATAATAGATGAATTAGACAAAAATGTAATACTTACCCTTGAGATGGAGATAAAATAGAAGAAATTATAATTCCGGGAGCAGAGCTTCCCGGGACAATAGCAACGATATCAGTAAACAAGAAGATAAAATTATATTGAGCTTTGAAGAGTGTAGCATATGTTTGCCAGAAAATTCGTGTCCCTTACAATGATAGTAGAGCTCAATATTTATAGCTGCACCTAGGAAACAAGGTCCTAGGATCAAGCCCCCTTTTAATGTCAATTATGAGGGCCATTGTAGAATGTGTAACGGCAGGCAGTGAATGTCATATTCCTTGTAACGGGACGCGCACTTAATGCTGTAGAATATTCCTCATTAAATGCTACCGGGTGGCAGGTATTTATTTCATCTTTAAGAATGTCATTCTCTCTGGTAGCAGACGGGATCGTTGCCTCCAGATTTAACTTCCTTCTGTCTTCGGCTCCATGTGTCACTTTCTCGTGTGATTATTTAATATAAACATATTTTACCCTCTACACATAGGTCACTTATGGGGAAAATTCTACCTACTGTGACGACAGTAAACATGAAAATCATGAGAAGAAGGAATGTCCTAAATCATGCCCAACAGACCAGATTATGCGAGGAGGTCACAGAAAAGGAAATTTATGATGGTCTCAACCCATAGGGGGGTGACAAATCCCCATAGGTGGATGGCTATAATTTTGTGTTCTATAAAAGAGCATGGCCTATCATTAAAAATTGAGATCATTGAAGTTGCACAAGAATTCTTCATAATAGGTATAATGTATAGAGGAAGTAATTGTACAACATGCACCTTGATTCCAAAGATAACCAACCCTGCTGCATTCAAGAAAGATAAGCCAATTGCATGTTGTACTGTACTCTATAAAATCATAGCTAAAGTCCTAGCAGGGAGAATTCAGAAGGTGATTGCTAGCCTTATCACAGAGACTCAATCAGGCTGTATACATAGGAGGAAAGTTGCAGATAATGTGATCCTAGCTCATGAATTGGTGAAAGCATACACAAGAAAATATATTTCACCTAGATGCATGATTAAGATGGATATTCAAAAAGCATATGACACTGTGGACTGGAGGTTCCTGGAACAGATGTTGGTAGAATTATGTTTCCTCAAAAGTTTGTCAGATGGGTGATGGAATGTGTCACAACACTCAACTACTCCATAGTTATAAATGGAGAGTCAACTCCACCACTTGATGCTGCAAGAGGACTTCGACAAGGGGATACAATATCTCCCTTTCTGTTTGCTATTATCATGAAGTACCCGAGTAGAAACCTTAGTGCCCTGAGGGACGAGAAGCAATTCAAATATCAATCCTAAATGCTCTAAACTGAATGTCACACATATGTGCTTTGCAGATGACTTCCTAATATTTTCTAAGGGTGATGTAACCTCTGTAGACCTTTTATGAGAAATTTGGTATATTCACTGCTGCCTCAGGCCTACAGGCTAACTTGTCCAAAAGTGCTATATAGTATGGTGGTGCTTCAGAATCTACCAAGCATGATATCCATCAGCTACTAGGATATGGACAAGGGGACTTACCATTCAGATATCTAAGGATTCCATTGGCTACTAGAAAATTAAAATTGGTAGAATGGCAGCCTTTAGTAGCCAACATCACGGCCAGAATTTCATCATGGACAACAAAGAAGCTATCATATGCGGGCAGAGTTCAATTGGTAAAATCAATGCTTTTTGGCATACAATCCTATTGGGCATAGATGTTCATCATACTTGCTAAGGTGAAGAAAGCTATTGAAGCTTATTGCAGAAGCTTTGTCTGGCCTGGAGCAAATAAAATCACTAGAAAATCACTGGTATCATGAAGCAAAATGTGTCTACCTAAATTAGTAGGAGGGCCAAATCTTACAAACCTAAAGCTCTGGAATAAGGCAGCCATAACAAAGACTTGTTGTGAATTGAATAGGAAGAAAGACACCCTTTGAATTAAATGGATTCATGAATACTACATAAAAGAGCAGCACATGGAGAGTATGCTTATCCCCCGGCAAGCAAGCTGGATGGTTAGAAAAATACTTAAGACAAGAGAGAAACTATGTCATGTGCAACCTGACTTTGCTAGCAGTACAAGTATGAACAGAAGCATCTACATGAAAATACTAGGGGATCTACCCAAAGTTACCTAGAAAAAACTCATGTGTGAGAATATAGCAAGGCCAAAAGCACTATTTATAGTATGGCTTCAACAACATGACATGCTACTCACAGCAACAAAGTTGAAAAATTGGGGGATTCAAGTTGATACCAACTATATTATGTGCAAACTGGTAGACGAAAGCAAGGATCATTTGTTTGCTGAATATGCAATTGGCATTGGTAGGCAAGTATGGAGTAAACTAATGAACTGGTTACAAATTGCTTGGCCGGCAATGAGTTTATGGAGACATATGCAGCACTGGATAGAGCAACATACACAAGGGAAAACAAACCATGGAAGACTTGTGAAGCTGGTGTATGCAGAGTTTGTCTATGCAATTTGGATTGAGAGGAATAATAGAATATTTGTCTAGAAGGAGATATCAAGTGAAACTATAGCTAGAGAAATAACATATACTTGTTATGTTAGAGCTAATGATACTATTAGGTTGTTACTTTAAAAGTGTAGATTTCCTAGCTAGGAAGTGAAGGAGAGATACAGAGAGTGAGTTTTTCTTTGTTTTGTTATCAACTCAGCAGACTGAGTTATAAAGTCTAGCTGGATTTGTAAATGATTTCTTGGTAATCAATGGAAGTGGATACTCCACCAAAAGAAAAAAGATTAATCTTTTACCCTCATTTAAAATCTATAGAAAGATTACTTCCCCCTTGGAATATCCAAGTTGAAGTAAACAGGATTTGGAGCTTATCACAACTAGTAATCATGCTGGCTAAAAAGTTGATGTTAATTAAACTTTTTGCAAATAAACATCAACCCTTTAGAACACCTAATCATTTTTGGGGTGGGGTGGGGTAGGGGAGGGGGTGGGATTAACTGAAGACTTTTTAAGTTTTCTTTTCTTTTACTTTGGTACCTCTTTTTGGCTTTTTCGATGAATCTATAGCCTATAGGTAGAGAATGCCTACAATCTTCAAGAATACAAAAGTTTGATTTCTGAGTGATTACGAAATCCATATGTACTGGAAGTCTTTAAGAATCCAGCTTTCTCCAGGTTTGCATACTCCTAATAGAAAACACAAAAAAGAAAAAGCTCCGTTGGTTGGATCATGAATCAAGAATTCATGATTCACATGATTTCACTGCAGTACTCATGTTATACTTATATCAACTCTATTATACTTGAAACGCTATTCTAATTATACATATTACATACAGAGTCGGACCTACCCTCTAGATAGAGGGATCATCAGCCCCCGGTAACTTCCAAAAAAATATGTGTATATATATTTTAAGTAATAGGTATATTTTGATTGTCACTTTAAGATTAAAATTTATAGACAGCTGCATTAGGGGGACAAAACTTGACTTTTGGTGCGCTGCCTAGGTTCGTTAGTATTTGCTCAAATTTTATTCGATAGTGGTGCTCATGCCACTTTTAAATTCTGGGTCCGCCTCTGATTACCTTGGTTACTTTAACGATTAGACGTGTCTATTGTACTTAAAAGACATGTACAATTTCGACATTTACTTAACTGTAATTGTTCTATTCAATTAAACATTGACTAAATTTTTTCAGCCAGTTGCTTCTATTGGCTTACATTTATGTTCCCTTTAATTTTTTTTTGTTATACATATATTTACTAGTAATTGTCAAAAATGAAAAGGAGATCGATGCAGCTTGGATTGAAATTGCTGTGACCGTTTGGTACAAAGCTACCAACTTTAGATTTGACAATTTGGGATATAAATTCAGCAACCAGAAAACGCAAAACTCTTACACCCTATACAAAACTTGTGAATGAAACAAACGAGGCTCAACGTAACTACCTTCCTAGACAATACAATTTCTTTAAGAATTTGAAAAATAAATAATATTGGTATTAATTATTCTCTCATATCCCATATTATAAAAATCTTGAAACGTACTAATATGAGAACCCCGGGGGCTGTCTCTGTGTGTGCCAAGGTTTCTTGCATAGCATGAGAAGTTTAAGTGAAGCAATGAAATTATTGGTGGATGTTAAAGTTCCTCTTTTTTTTTTTTTTTTTTCCTTTTCTTTTCTACCCTAAATGTTTGTCTTCTTGTACACTCTAGGGCGACATCGGAACTGATACTAGGTTGCCCTATTTACACTCAAATACTTCTACTCTCAGACCATCTTTTTTAATTAAATTTTTAAAAATACACGTTAAACTGTCTTTATTAAGATGTTCTATTGTTACTGATTAATATAAATAAAATTAATCCAAATAGACCCTAACTTAAACCAAAAATAGCCAGCGAATGTATACAATATATATATATAATTCATGCATAATTTATGTATAATTAATATATAATCTATGTATACTGGATAGAAAAAGTAAACATTGAATCCTGGCTGGCTTGTTTATTGAATAAACAATTCAAATATACCCTTTTGTTGTTGCACAAAGATCCGGGGAAATACATTTATTCCACTTACTTAAATAAGCTGAAGAAGAAGAAGTGAATTCCAAGCAAACACTTTTTTTTCCATCTAAGTACTAATTATATTGCTCAACTTTTCTTCAACCTCTAACTTTAATCTTTTAGGTATAGCATAAGTCTTTGTTTTTAAGAGTAAGATGGAGTAAGAAGAACAAGTAGGTACTATTGAACTGAAGTGTGGTAAGGACTACTACAAAGTGGAAAAAGTAGAATTCAATATACCTTCCCAACCTTGATGAGCAATTAGCTTGACGGAGAACATGCCTCAAGGCCACAAATTACTTTTTCCTTTTTTCCTTTTTACTCTTTGTCTCTCCTCCAACAAATCTTGTTATATTTTGGAATAGTTAGAGAACAATAGTGAAAAGGTTTTTTCCTAATTTATGTTCTTAACAAAAGAAATGACTTGTATGAATGACTCTGCTAACGAGAAATCTATCTCAACAAATGTTACCAATGAAAGCACCAAAAATACTACGAAAACAAGAACTTGTCCTTCTTGTGGTCATCTGATCAAATCTGAAGAAAAGGTTAGTATTGTTATATTTTTCAATTGCTTGATTATACAGTCAAACCTCTCTATAACAGCCTCGTTTGTTCCGATATTTTTTTGCTACTATAGATGACATATATTATAACATAACATAATTAAAAATCGGTTCCGACAAAAGTTTGGCTTTTGTAGTGAATGGTTGTTATATATAGATGTTATAGAGAGGTCTAACTGTAGGTTATTATAACGCGATTAATTTTAATTCTTTTGATTGTGGATTTTTGTGAATTTTTTGTTTATGTATAGGCTGGGATTCACAATCTTCCAGGATTGCCTGCTGGGGTGAAGTTTGATCCAAGTGATCAAGAACTTCTTGAACATCTTGAGGCAAAAGTGAGATTAGATGCTCACAAACTTCACCCTTTAATTGATGAGTTCATTCACACACTTGAGGGAGAAAATGGAATTTGCTATACTCATCCTGAGAAATTACCAGGTACTTACTCTGCTAATCCTTTGCATTAGGATCAAGTTTCATGTGAAATGATTTTAAGTTTGATGTTATTCAACCTCTTTTAGATTCTCAAATACAATATGGAAGTGCTCTATAAGCCGCGCAACTATATATAAAATAATGGGGTTATTATAGAATGTTGCCAAAGAGAATGAATTACTACCAAACAAATACATTTTTCACGTACTCACATTAATTCTATGCACATTTATGTACTAATAGTGTAACAAATTATTTACTTATAACTTAGGTAAAATAGCAACTAACTTGCTATTACATATTTAATCATATATAACTTAAATTGTAATCAAATATTGACGTGCAGGAGTGTCTCAAGATGGGTTAATCCGACATTTTTTTCATAGACCATCCAAAGCATATACGACAGGTACAAGAAAAAGAAGAAAAGTAGAGACAGATATAGAAGGAAATGAAACTCGTTGGCACAAAACAGGCAAGACTAGGCCAGTTGTGGTTAAAGGCAAAGTGAAAGGACACAAGAAAATACTTGTACTCTACACAAACTATGGAAAGCAAAGAAAACCTGAGAAAACAAATTGGGTAATGCATCAGTACCATCTTGGTGATAATGAAGATGAAAAAGAAGGAGAGCTTGTTGTGTCAAAAGTCTTTTACCAAACTCAACCAAGACAATGTGGTAATTCTCTCCTTAGAAATAATTGTCCTCCTCCTGCAGTTAGAACAAATATTGGTCAAGCATCTCAATTTAGGGACAATACTACATTTGTTCAATGCTTCAATAATCCAACTCTCATATCCTTTGAGCATAATAACCGTCCAACTCCTCGTCTCCCAAATTTTAATCTCCCTCACTCTTCATTTATTCCTTGACTATTTTTTCCCTTTTACATGAGATACTCATAACAGGTCTGAATAAGTTATCGAAACGGGGAAGAATAAGGAGAGTTTCTCTTGTTATTGAGGACTATATACGTAGGGTTTCAGATGAAGCTCCGCTCCAAACTTTAATTATCATTTTAATTATACTTATATATTTTTGATGTGGTTATTTCTGCAATATTGATGCTTCCTTTGTACAGTGAGGCTGAAGAAATAAGTGTACATGGCTCATGATACATAGACTGGGAGAGTAACTAATTGGAGTTCAACTGTACAAAGATATATACTGCTATGGTTTAGCATATTTACACTCATTATTCATTAATTATATTTGCTTTGGCTATAATCTTTTATATTTGGAACTTTATTGTAAGCATTATGGGAATTCTGAAATTGTAGTAGCTCTTTTATTTAAAGATAACTGCAGGTAACCATCCATAATTGGAATTAGTAGCTCTTGGTTTCAGACCTAGTGCCTTATACAAGGTAAATCTTGTTCTTCATTTCCACTTCTATGAGAAGGTACAGTCAGATCATACAAGGCAAAATTTGAGTAACCCGTACGAAGAATCATTGTCATATTAACTTTCGATTATAAATGGTGCGAAAGATTCTTCGAGTATACTTTGTTTTGATCCCATGTGTTTGGCGTAAAAAAGGTAAATAGTTACTGTGTACGTATTCTTGTCACTTGTTGGAGACTTGGGAAGTTATTGTACCTCATATGGTACTACTTTTATAGTTTTACACAAGTCGACGTTGGGCTATCTTTGAAAAAATAAAATTAATGTAATTGTTTTTGCTCATTTTTCTAGGGCTTAAGCCCTTGATTCTTGAGCCTTTTTCCACATGCAATATTTCTCATTGTTTGAGCAAAAAGTATAAAATTCTTTTTCTCGAACTAACTACTAGTATGTAAATCTTAGTCAAACATAATTAAATTCAGATCTAGACATACAGAATGTAAAAATAAAAGAAGGAATAATAACGAGTAATATTTCTTCATATAACAATTGTACATCAATCAAGTGTGGTTAGCTTACATCCGGGACAGTCTTGCATCAAGGGAGCAATGAAAGGAAAGATAAGAGAATATTGATGATGAAGAGATTCTCTTTGTTGTCTCCTCTATGGAAGCTGTTTTTTCCCCTCCAAAAAGATCCCCTCTTTTGGGTTTAGCTAGTCCCATTTATATTAACAACTTCCCTATTTGTCCAATGGTCTTTGACCAGCGTCCTTTCTCGTCACTGTGCCCTCTATCGTTTGCTTGACCACTACGTTTGTTCTGCGACGTAAGTTTTCCTATGACTCGGCCCTAACGATGGCCGAGGTGCTCTTTGTCATCTGGCCCTGTAGGCACGACTGCGACTTGGTCGACCTCATGTCGTTCCACTTAGGGACGATTAACCCATTGTCAGATTTTGACCCATACAGTTAGTCCCTCCGTCCGATGGGGTCACTTCTTGGTGGGCTCAACGGACGGACTTTGTTGATTTATAAGTTGGAGAAATTTGATCGTTGTGTGTTGAATGAGACCCTTAGGTTGAGGAGTCAGTGTGATGTTTCGATGGTAGCGTCGAACCGTTACGTCAGTTCGGAATTGAACCGTTGCATCGATTTGCAGCATCGTGAATGCCCTTTACGCATCGTTGCGGCGCATGTTTCCTAGGCACCGTATCGTTTCCCACGCCCTATCAATTTTTGATTGGCGGCTCTCGGGTTTCTCGCTTAGGACATTCATGTTCTTATAAATAGGGGAAAACACCATTCTATTGCTACACTTTTCGACTTATCTGAAGGGTTTTACAAACCTTTACCTTCTTCAATATTTCAAACTTCTGAGTTCATTCTCCTGTCAGTCAGAACTTGATATCGACGTCTTCTCTCTTCCTTCCTCTTACTCATTTATTCCGATCAATCGAGACAAATGGCTGGTACTTCTTCCCATACTGACAGACTCATCGAAGCTCCAGTGCCGGAAAATGACGCACCTATTCTCGAAGAAGGAGCGGAGGCGGCGGAAGATGAGGGGTTCCAACAGTGGCTGAAATATTGCCCAGTCCGGGGAAATTATGGACTGACTTCAACAGCCCCACCGGAGAAGAACCGGATCCTGTTCTCTATTATGGATGAAGCGGCGATTGCGGCGCTCAAAACCAAATGGGGGATTTCGAACCATGTTGAGATGTTGCCGGCGACGGGAGATGATATTGTACATTTGGACCGCCCATGATATTGCACGTTCTACGCATACCCCTTTGTTGCCGGGTATACGCTTCCTCTCCCCTCCCTAGTGACAGACTTCTGCCGTTTCTTTGAGGTGTGCCCGGCTCAGCTTTCTCCGTACGTGTATAAGTTTTTCCTCATGCTACTCGAGTTCGTGGAGCTTGCCAGTCGAGAGGTCACTTTGGGACATATGCTTAATGTTTCCCCCCCCCCCCCCCCAACTTATTTGAGGCACGATGATCCACATACGCCATCGAGGAACAAAGAGTCTAGTGGTGAAGATGGATGAAAAAGCTAATCGCCGTTTCTGGGAAAATTACTTTTATGTGCGGACTGAGCACCTTGTGGCGGACTCGGCAGGGTTCCCTGAGAGGTTGAACTTCGCACGTAAGTCTTCCTGTTTACTTTGCATCTTCTTTCGGAGTGGTGGTCGATCATTTTTCTTCAGGTGGCATTGCTAAGTTATTTTTACTTTCACAGCAGAGAGATTACCTCCCCTGCCTGTTGACGACATCCGCGAATGGGTGAACGCCATTCTTCCCTATACGGTGGGGGTTCGCGAATGGGCATCATTCTATGAGAGATACGGGCGTAAGCCTCTCACTGGTAAGTCGGCTCGTTGCAGTCTCCTTGTTCTTTGCCTCGTAATTTGATTTTGTTGCTTACATGATCGTTTTTCTCCGTTCACAGGGAGAGCGCGAAGGGCGAGGGCTCCTCCGCTCGCGTTCCATCAACCGGCGCCTTCTGCCCGGCCCGCGCTGAGGTCTGCAGCCCGGCCTACATTGAGAGCTACTCAATCTGCATCTACGACCGGGGCCGTGTGCATGGAAATTATTCCTCAACCCGGAACTCCGGCTCCTGCTGCTCGCTCAACGGGTGGATTTTCTCGTGCTGATAGCGGAGAGGGTCTGTCGAAGAGACGGCGAGTGGAGTCTGAAGTGGCTCCTTTAGCCGAAGCATCTTCGGGGGGCGACCTTCCTTTGGCAGTGTCTGAAATTGGCGGTGGTGATAACCCGGCCGTAGAGGAAAACCAGGTGGCAAAGGCCAACCCGACGGTAGGGAATCGGCCGTTGTGAACGATCAACAGGCCATTGCAACGGGAAGCCGGGGTCCCGAAGCCGTTGTTGCCATTTTGGGCGGGCTTTCATCGTCCGGACCAAATCGAGCTTCTTCTTCAGCCGCAGAGAGGGGAAAAGGTGTCGTGGTCGATGACTACGAGTCTGACTCCGACCTTGATCCTGATGATGTCAGGATATTTGAGGAGGGCTTTAACCGCACTGTGGTAAGGGCGGGAGGTCCCTCCCGTATACTTGAGATTCCATCGGAGCTCAATCTTCTGCGGGATACAGAGGGTTTGGTGCCGCAGTTTGACCTTCTATGCTCCGCCGCAGAGTGTGAGGCTCTTCGGGATGTCAGCGATGTCGAATTAATGCATGAAGTGGCCGCTATGGGCCTGAGGGTAAGTTTTTCCTCTGTTGTTTTTGTGTTCCTTTCGTTTTTGGCGGCCTTGACCTTCACCGACTCCTCCTTTTTTTTTTTTGCTTTTAGTCTTACATGCTGGAGATCGAAAGTGCTCGCAGGGCCGACACTCGGGCCAGATTTTATGAGTAAAATGCGTCGAATGGGGGGTGTGGTCACGCCAGATGACCATGATCCTATTTTGGACGTATGTATGTCGTGCCAACCCTATCGCTGCTGGCGAGAAGTGGGTTTTGCATGGATGTTGGTTATAACTTCTACTTTCATGTAGCAGCCTGACCTAGATCAGTATTGTTGTCTTGAAGGTTTATTTACCGCTCTTTCGAGTGGGTGGTGGCGTTTCGCCGGTTCTAGATCTGAAGGAAACTAAGAGATTTGGCTAAGATATCCCCACAGAAGGCGCCAAATTGTTTGAGCAAAAAGTATAAAATCCTATTTGTCGAACTAATTACTAGTATTATAGAAGGTAAATCTTAGTCAAACATAACTAAATTCAGATCTAGACATATAGAATGTAAAAATAAAAGAAGGAATAATAACGAGTAATATTTTATCATATAACAATTGTACATCAATCAAGTGTGATTAGCTTACATCCGGGACAGTCTCTTTGCTGTCTCCTCTACGGAAGCTGTTTTTTCCCCCTCCAAAAAGATCCCCTGTTTTAGGTTTAGCTAGTCCTATTTATATTAACAACTTCCCTATTTGTCCAATAGTTTTTGACCAGCGTCCTTTCTCGTCACTGTGCCCTCTATCGTTTGCTTGACCATTACGTTTGTTCTGCGACGTAAGTTTTCCTATGACTCGGCCCTGACAATGGCCGAGGTGCTCTTTGTCATCTTGCAGTGTAAGCACGACTGCGAGTTGGTCGAACTCATGTCGTTCCACTTAGGGACGATTAACACATGGTCAGATTTTGACCCATACACTCATGCTGAAGAAAATAAATAAACCACAAAAAAGGGGTCAATGTTGATAATGTCAAACCTGATGGGAAGTCTCTGAAATTATCTCTTATTGTTAAAATAAATAAAAGATCCTAAAAGAAAAGGAGATTATAAAAGGAAGTGCACAGGTTCAATTGCAAGCCATTATTTGCTTTAATGATCCTGCGAGAACTGCTATGTGAAAAACAATTGGAAAACAAAGAGCATAGCAAGAACCAAATGATTTCCAAAAATAATGCATCAGCATTACAAATTCTTTTATTACAGTGATGAGATGGGTAGCAATTTCAACCCTGTCTATGTATAGTAGAAGCAAATAACACATTGACGGCTAAAAAAACACTCAAGAATAATAGCGCTGATACAGTGAAAAGCTGAGAACAAGTATCCTATCGCACCCAGCGAAGCACATATGCTATGCCCACCGGTTGTGCGAGCGTGAAATATATGAACAGTTGATATATTTACTTATTACCCTTTGGTAACAGAATATCATAAAGTTCGCTACACCATCTATCCAACTACAGTCGCAGCAGAACAGCCATCTCACAGAGTACATAGGTTTCATCTATAATTATATTCATGCATGCAAACAGTTCGTCATTGTGAAGCCAGCAGATGGCTGAGTTTAACCCGCTTGGAGTTCTGCAGTTGACAATGCTAGTCTCCATTCTGCAACAACATAGACCAGACTGATTAGATGGAGTGAGTATTAATGGGTTGCGAGTTTGACCTACAGCACATCACAAGACTAACCATATCATGCAACTTATCAAATTTGTACTTCTAAAATGTTTCTACATGCATTCAATAAGAAATGTTTAATTATTTCTCCTCATACTTTTTGATTGGTAAATGTAACTTATATTCAAAGTACCAACAAAAAAGCTGCGGAAAGCCACAGTCAAAAGAGTGAACCATTTCAAGTCATGTAAGTACTCCTCATACTTGAAAAAGGAAATTGAGGAGAAAAGGTTTTTACTCCTATGCAATAAGAACGTTTAATCCCAGTTAACTGTTATGCAACATACTGCTCTCTCTTTCTCTCACATGAGTTCATCCCATGGTTCTCCAATGCTGAAACGTCCAGCCATGGTGGCACAACAAAATCAAACCACCTCTTCACGGACTTCCCAGAAACCTCATTAGTAATGAAACGAACGCCAGCCAAAATCAACCAAAGAAACCAATAGAAAAGCAACTAATATCCATTCATACAGGCAAGCAAGCAGCCCTCTTCTCTGAAGAAGCATATTACGAAACCCTAAGGGAACAAGCTCACTTAGGGGGGCGATGTTCATTCTGAATCAATAGCTAAAGTCCTCTAAAGGGGCACGTGCTCCGTAATAAAAAATATGTGATAGAACGTTTCTTGTTAAGACCTCTTATGTGAAAACCATTGAGCCATAAAATGCCAAATGAAGATGTTTTGCAAGAGAAGAGTTAGATTACCTCTTAAGTGTTACTGTCGCAGGTAACACTAATAAGAAAACACCAATACTTTTTTTTTTTTTTGAATAAGTAACAGTGTTATCAAAGGCGAAAAGCGCAAAAAAAATCTAAGGCCCGTTGGGGCTTTAAGCGCAAAGCGCAAATAAAGTGTGGGCTTTAATGAAAAAAAGCGCAACTGGAGAAAAAGTAAAAATATGTATATGTAGTCCAAGACCAATAATTATAAGCATGAACAACAAATATATGGACAAAAAAATTGAAGAAAAAATAACGACAAAGTGAAATATCAATTATCCGGTGTTGCATTTTCAGGATTACACTCATTGGCAAGGAAAAATATGCCCGAGAGCCTTGATGGGGCACTGAAGCGCCCGCAAAGCGAGGCGAAGCGTTCAACATGTTTTGAGCCTCGCTTTAGGGCTTAAGCGCGCTTTAAGCGCGCCTTTGACAACACTGATAAGTAAATGGAACACTTATTGACTAATAAAGAGCTTATTTACTAAGGACACTTAGCAAAACAGGACGATGATTAATTTGTAACAATTAAGGGTTTAAATGTAAGGCCATCCCATTAAGGCAACAGTTGCTTAATTAGTAGATAGCCAAACCACAAAACAGAATGCATGAGACAGTGCTGAGCTAAACTCAAATACAATGTAAATTCACAACCAATTGCCTTCTAGAGCACATGCATCTTTTTATGCAGATAGGACCAATTCCACGCAGTTTCCCTCTTGGCTTGGGTACATGTATCCTTTTATAGAGATTGGACGAAGCTCTTACATGGGAAGAAAATTAGGACATCGCCAACAATTGAGAGTAAGTGGAAGAAACCTCTCAGATTAAAACTAAGATACGAGGAAATCCAGAACATAAAGCTTTAGAGATTCAAACGGAAATCTACTAATGGCATAATCTATTACTTCAGGAGAGGTACTAATTTATTTTGATCAGTTCAGCGGATGTACTAATTCAAATGATAGTGCAGGCAATGCTTTTTGAAATGAGTTTGAGATGGTGTAAGAATTACTCAATCAAGGATTTTTTTTACAGAAAACGGATCTCTTGTGATCTCCAGAGCAGTTGGAGGAACAACGATTCCGAACTGACGGCAGGAGATAATACCAACGAAATCAAGACCTCACTAGTAGAAACAAATGGTGAGGGCACCATCAATAAAAAGCAGATTATAGAATAGCAAAATCCCCTGACAACTGATGGACATCAAGTTATATCTTGTCAAGTCTATGGCGACTTAATGGAGCTCTAGCGTGAAACTAAAGGCTATCCCAACTCAGATAAATTCCAGTACTTATCCTACAAGATCAGATCTCAAAATTCAAATAATAGGAGATCAAAATATATAGCAAACATAAATTTAAACGGCAGATTGAAATAATTCACCGTAAACTTGAGACTGCAACAGAGGCTGGTTTCCTATTTAAAGCTAGATAGACCACATCAGACAAGGAAGCAGTAATAAGGTCAAGAGACTCTAACGGCTCTTTCAATCTCAAGAATTTTAGTAAAGAGTACCAGTAGGGTTCTAATTTTCTAATGTAGTCACTCAAATCTCAGAATATTGGGTTTTCTCCATGTTGCAAAGTCATAACGGTTTGGAGGTGATTTTTAATGACAATGCAAACACGAATAACAGATATTATGAAAAAGGAGCCACAGAATTAGGCACCGGAGTTGGTACAGTTTGGGAGAAATGAGGCATGTGTAAAAATCTAGTTGTATACTTGTATCAGGGCAAGAACTGTGCCATCAATCTTAACAAGGGAAAATGATGATTTACAACAGAAAGTTGCCGAGGCTTAGTTCTTCATTTCTTTTCCTTTTTGAGGGTCTAAGCAGGACGAGTGATTACTCTTGCACCTAGAACACCAACGAGTGAAAAGTTCTTAGGCGACATTATTGAGACTTGAAAGTTGGAGCTTTGCTTCATTTACATATTAGCAAATAAAACCTTAAGTCCTAACCTATATACTTCTGTTCTCTTCAATGCTTGTGGAAGATTGTACATTATATGTTATCTTATAAAGGGAACAGTGCTCACTTTGTTAAGGAGGCAAATTCTTGAGAAATTATCAAGCAATAAAATTTGTCATCAGGCATAAAAAAGTTGACATCAAGAGAAATAACGACTTGCTGATTTGAGGCCACATATCTCTTACCACTAGAAGTGCCAATAACTAGTAGAGTATAAAGCGAATTTTTCGTAAACCCCAGCTCTTTTTATTTCCTCAACAACAACAAATACCAAACTAGTCGGGGTCAGCTATATGAACCTTCATTATCATTTGGAACATTGCATCCCAATACTCAATAGTTTCAACATTAATCCTACAATTTGAGGAAAATTGTCCTAAAAAGTCAAACAAATTAATTAAAACTACAAAAGATGGCACGCTAATGCAAAGTACAATTAAACAAAAATAAGCTTGTCACCGGTCACCTGTCAAGAGAAGGTAAATTGGAAGGAGGGTCCTATAGTTTCTTCTTCTTTCTGAAAACATAAACGTCGGTCTCCTCGTAGGCGTACTCTGGATGTAAATGCTCGTGTGGAACCTTCTCGATATCAAACATGTCTCCGCTAAGCTCCCAGAACTTCTTATGCGCTTCAGGAGATCTCAGCTGGTAGCCCAACAAAACGACGCCGTTTTCACTCACCAAAGCTTCCATAGCCGAGAGCAATGGACTCACCGTCTCCTCCAAGTACACCACATCGGTGGCAACAACGACATCAAACGGTGGGTTAAGAGATTTTATCTGGTCTTGATTGGACCAATTCAACTGGGCCGTTTTCAAAGACTTACTCAAAACTGGCTTGTTTTTCTTAAGGTTGTGTTTTAGGGCCGGCATAACGGGAGCGATATCAGTGATAACGACGTTGTTCAGGCCCAGTAAGAAGAGGCCCATGGCGGCAACTCCACACCCGGCGCCGAGTTCGATTCCGCGTTTGTTTTGGAAGTTAAGGATGTCGGAATAGGGATTTGGAGTAACGGCGCATGTTTGAGGATGCCAACGTTCGGCGAATTTGACGAGGATAAGTGAACAGGGCCATACGCTTGTACCTACGTGCATGGATCCATTGTCTTGGTGGAAAGATAGCTGAGAATTTAGCACTTGAAGATCGATCACCGGCGAGTCTGTGAACTTCATCTTCTCTAATTTTCTCTCGCTAAAAACTGCACTTTCCCTTTGAGCTGAAGTGTCAGTGGGTTAATGGGCCAAACTTCTGGAACATACCGGTAGTGGGCTAGGTCTTCTTCAGACAAAGGGGATTTTGGGCCGTGACCTGGAATGTTTACACAGCTCAGTCGGGTTTCCTATTGGAATTTTTACATTCCTATATCACATAGGAAACCTTTTTACCCTATATGTTTAAGGTTTGAGTAAATTACACTTAGTATACCAAATTACCAATCCTATACCATACTTAATTAAGGGTCTAATTAATGGGCAGTTTTTACTCCTTTTTTTACATATCCCACGTTTCTCTCTCCTAACCCCTCAACCCCCCCACCCACGTTTTTACCCATACCCCACATTTTTTTTACCATTTTCCCTCTTCTGAAACCAAACAAAATTCCACATCGATTGTGTTCTACTTTTTCACATCACTGATGAATACTCAACATTTTAAAAGATAACGGAGAGCCATTATGTCTTTTGGAAAAGTCAAAAATGAAAATAAGGCTTTTAATTTTACCGGATCTCATAATGCCTGAAAATGCAGAATGTTCATTTACGGACTTACAAGGATGAAGCGACTTTGGCTAGTGATCATGCACGAAAGAGAGAAATGGAAGCTCTTAATCACCTTTGTGTGAATCATGTTGGTCAACAACTTTAGTCTTTAGTGTTGTCTTCCAGTGAAATTCCACTCTCTTCTCTCTAATAGTTGCTCTGTCAGGTCGATAGGTACATGAAACTTTGGAATAAGAATGATGAGTTCAGAAAGGAAACAAAAATTAAGGATAATCCCCTACCCCTTCTTCTGACTTTGATTCAAAGATTCAACTTTTAAATACCAAGCTTCACCCTGAAACCTTAAATTGACTTGTAGTTTTTTTGAAGAAATTTTGTAGATGAAGAGAAAATTTTGTAGTCAACATTTTTTTTCAACATAAATTGTAGTTTAATTGTAGTATAAATATTGTAATTTTGTAGATACTCTTAAAAACAATACAGCTTTATACAATACTTAAACTGATTTGTAGTTTATTTGTAATTTTTTTGAAGAAATTTTGTAGATGAAGAGAAAGTTTTGTAGTCAACATTTTTTTCCAACATAGATTGTAGTTTAATTGTAGAATAAATGTAGTAACTTTGTAGATACCCTTAAAAACAGTACAGCTTTATACAATACTAAAACTGATTTGTAGTTTTTTTGTAAAAATTTTGTAGATGAGACCCATTTTTTAATGTACAATCAATTAATAGTAATTTTGTAGATACTCTTAAAAACAATACAGCTTTATACAATACTTAAACTGATTTGTAGTTTATTTGTAGTTTTTTTTGAAGAAATTTTGTAGATGAAGAGAAAATTTTGTACTCAACATTTTGTTTCAACATAGATTGTAGTTTAATTGTAGTATAAATGTAGTAACTTTGTAGATACCCTTAAAAATACTTTATACAATACTAAAACTGATTTGTAGTTTTTGTATAGAAATTTTGTAGATGAGACCCATTTTTTATAATCAGATTTTTCCCATTCAATTGTAGCATGATTGGGATTTTGCATTCCCATCTACCACAATGGCATTAAATTCAAAATCTCTAAATCTGCCATAATTATCCCAATTCCCATTAAATTGTAGCATGATTGCGATTTGGACATGATTTCTTGTTGTTGTTGTTGATGTTTTTTTGGATTTCTATATTGAGAGAAGAAAAGATGAAGAACAGATATATATGAGCGACAATTTGAGAGAAGAAACGACGAAGAACAGATTTTATCAACTTTGAGTTGTTGAAACTCGAAAATTTGAATTCTATAATTTGAATTCAGTTCGTCGAATCTGTTAGTAGTTGAATCTGTTCGTAATTTTTGCAGCTGTTCGTTTCTTTTTTTTCGAGAATTTGAATTGTAGTTCTGGAGAAAAATACGCAGATGAGAAATCTCCTTTCCCTTTTTAAAATTGAATTTAATGTAGAATCAATTAATACCAAGATTCTCTCCTTAATTTTAGCTCGTTTTTCAGGGAATATTCTGCCCTTTTAATACCTAATAGACGAATGGTACAAAAATTGTAGGTAAAACGTGGACTGGGCGGATAATTTACATACTATGCACATTTTTGATAATAAAGTTTCATATATGGTATAGATAGAAAAAAACCTCTTTCCTATTTACTTTTTCTAATTGGTATACATAGATTATAGGAATTTTTACCCCCCTATAGCAAAGCTTAATACCCTATTTATTTTAAATAAATACCATTTTAAAAAATTATATTATATAGCTACCTTTTACTCTTTATAGCAAAATCTCTAATTATGGTTACATCCTACCCTTAAGCCACTATATACGCTAATTATTATTTTTCTCTCTCCTTTTTCAGATTCTGTCTCACATAATTACCGATAAATTCTCAAACCACGTTCTCTCTCTCTCTCTCTAATTTGATACATTCTATTCTCTTCCCCCCACAAAACCACGATTCTGCAACTGAAATTATCTCCCACCCACATCGCCTAGGTCTTCCCCATTCTCACTCACCACGTTAATTTCTCTCTCAACTCTCGATTGTATTTTGATACAAGTAGTTGTGGTAAGTATTTAGCTTCTTAGATTTTCGTTTGGAATTTGTATTTTGTTTGTTTTCTTAAACAATAACCATTTTTATTGTTTACTCAACAAAAAGCTCTAGTTTTTCTCTCCAATATCGGACTCAACCATTGTTACTGTTGATGGTCTACTAGTAGAGAGAAAAATCCTCGAAAACAATATGCAACGTCTTGTCATGATTTTTGCTCGGCTACTGTACAGGATGCCCGGGAACAGTATGATTCAGGGTTTTTGCTCGACGGTGGATTCGCCGGAAATTAGGGTTTGTTCTTGAACAAAGACGACGGAGTTTGGGGCTGAGCAACTTGAATTTTCTGTTAATATATTTCACTGTATTTTCAATGTATCACGATGTATTTTCATGTATTTCATTGTATTCATTTTCTATTTTTTTCCATTGTAATTCAATGTATCTCGCTATATCCATGTATTTCATTGTATTCACTGTCTTTTTTTTTCATTGTATTTCAATGTATCCCGTTGTATTCTATGTATTTCATTGTATTCACTGTCTCGCTATATGCCATGAATGTATTCATATGTTTTTTTAATTAATATAATTTATGTATTCAGATGTATTATATAATTTCTCTGAAGATTGCTATGTTTTTGGGGTATTTTTCGGTTGAGAATCTTTTTTATAACTGAAAATACAAAATTTGTGTGTTATAATTGAGTTTGTTGAGTTATATTAGGAGCCTATTATGTTAAATGATTCACTTTCCGTTTAAAAACAGTGTAATCCCCTGTTTCACGCCTAATCTGTCCAGTTGTAATCTATGTTTCACGCCATGAATACAGTCGAATACACTCGAATATAAAAATCTGTCTAGCTGTAATCCCCTGTTTACGCCTAGAAATGCTATTGTATTCATGAATATAGTAGCTTAAATACATCGAATACACTCTAAAAAACCTGAAAACATAACTATAGGAAGTAATATAGTAAATGGTAGCTACAACTAGCTAATAACCACTAAAACATAGTGGTTTCTGAAAGTTTCTCAGATTATATTATTATGGATTTTTTACCTTCTATAGCAAAGGTTAACACCTTATTTATTTTAAATAAATACCATTTAAAAAAAATTATATTTTATAGATACCTTTTAAGGTTTATAGCAAAATATTTAATTTTGGTTACTTCCTAGCCCTAAGCCACTAAATACGCTAATCGGGTACACTATTTTCTTTCTCTCTCTACTTTGATACATCCCATTATCTTCCCCCATCCCATTAAAATTTCCAATCTCCTCCTACTTCCACCGGATTTGTGCAAAACCCACTTCAAAAATTGCTCCGGCTCCCGCATCCAGTTGAGAGACCGGCCTTTTCCGACAACGGGAGCACTCCGAACATTCTCTGAGACCGGCCTTAGANTTTGTCCAACGACAGAGGAGGCATCTTCCTTCTCTCAATTTACCCTAATAAATCGTTCTTTCCTATTTTTTGCGGGATAGGACAAGGTAATTTACTTTTTTATTTTCCTTCAGCTTTAGTGCTTAGGCATCGCCAAAAAGGCCCTAACATTATTTTCCGTGACTTTGCAAGGCTGCAAACAATTCTCAAGCGGCGGAGACAGAGGCACCTCTATACGACTTTGCCGAGTTCATGTGGACTGTAGGCCTTATTAATTTGGTAATTTTCTCTTCACTACGCTTGCTTATGGAATCATGGTCGGAATCCGATGGGTCGTCGGAAAATTGTCGACTAAAATAGGTCGTCAAAAGTTTGGGGTTGAGCAATTTGAAGATTGTGTTACCTTTTTTTTAAGAGCATTTCAATGTATCTCGCTGTATTTCTATGTATTTCATTGTATTCATTATCTTTTTTTTTATTGTAATTCAATGTATCTCGTTGTATTCCATGTATTTTATTGTATTCAGTGTCTTTTTTTCTCATTGTATTTCAATGTATCCCTCTGTATTCTATCTATTTTATTGTATTTTGCGGTTGAGAATCTTTTTTATAACTGAAAAATACAAAATTTGTGTGTTATAATTGAGTTTGTTGAGTTATATTAGGAGTCTACTATGTTAATTGATTCACTTTCCGTTTTAAAAACAGTGTAATCCCCTATTTCACGCCGTGAATACAGTCAAATACAGTCGAATACAATAATCTGTCCAGCTATAATCTCATGTTTCACTCCATGAATACAGTCGAATACACTCGAATACAACAAATGATTAGTTGGACTTCCCTGATTCACGCCTATTTTTGCTACTATATTCATGAATACAATAGCTTAAATACATCAAATACATCTTATAACCACAGAAAATGTATCTATATTCCGTAATATAGCAAATGGTATCTATAGATGGCTAATTACTACTAAATGATAGTGCTTTATGAAAATTTCTCTATTATTATACATATATTACATCCGTCATTTATTTTTAGTTTAAACGGTTGGGTA